GAGGGGAAGGGAAAGAGAAGAAAGATTTAAGGAATGACGATCGTTTTTGTCTAGAGAAGAGAAAGGCCGGGCGTGGTGGCTCATGCCTGTAATCCCAGCACTTTGGGAGGCTGAGGCGGGCGGATCATAAGGTCAGGAGATCAAGACTATCCTGGCTAACATGGTGAAACCCCGTCTCTACTAAAAATAAAAATAAAAAAAAAAATTAGCCGGGTGTGGTGGCGGGCACCTGTAGTCCCAGCTACTCAGGAGGCTGAGGCAGGAGAATGGCGTGAACCAGGAGGCAGAGCTTGCAGTGAGCCAAGATCATGCCACTGCACTCCAGCCTGGGCGACAGAGTGAGACTCTGTCTCAAAAAAAAGAAAAAAAAAATTGACCAACTTGTTCAAGTCAGATGGCTGGTCTAATACATGGCATATAGTAAGACTTAATACTTGTTCAATGAACAAAATAAAATTAAAAGAAGTTGTGTTGATAGAGGTCCTAGAAGTTTCGTGATGTTCTTGGTACCTACAGAAGGCACTTTACATTAAGGCGGGAGAGATTTTGATTGAATATAAGGAAAAGCTTCTTAATCAGCAGATTAAGAGAGTATGGAGATGGTCCGAGGCAATAAGGTCATCTCCCAGGGACCAGGAGAGGCTGGAGGAGAAGATGCAGCCTGTGTCCTGGTGAGTTTGGATGGTGCAGCCACCTAGAGGCTGGTCCAGGTCATCGTGTGGGGTTCATTCTAACACCATCAGGCATGAATTGAGGGCAGAAGTCCTGGTAATGTTCAGAGAGTCAGAAAACATAAGGGGCCTGACAGTCCAGCCCTCTCCATGTGCACATGGAGAAGCAGACACCCGTGTTGGTGAGGTGTTCCGACACCAGGGGGCTGCGCCAAGAGTGAGAGATGAGAGATCAGAGCAGTCGAGAAAAGGCACATTACCAGGAAGGTTCTGGAAATCCTAAACTGTAATGTCTCAAAAGCTATTTGGCTTCCTAGAACCCCATAATTGCTGTCACTGAGTCACTTTCTCCCAAACTATGCACCCTTTACACTGTCACTTCCTCTACCTACATAATCCTGAGAGTCCGTATTGAAAGACAAGGCACACAGGTCAGGGGTGGGGCAACCTGGCTTCACATCGCTCACCAGTTGTGTGACTCTAAGCATGGAAACATAATATTTTTGGATTTTATTTTCTTCAAATGCAAAATATGAGCAATAATGGTAACTACTTAATGAGATGGTTGTATGGAACAAATAAGGCCTGGAATGGGCTTACCACATTGCCTGAGACACAGTATGAATAAGAAACGTTTGGATATTATTGTCAATCCAGCAACACATTTCTGTTAAGTAGGTTATCCTGTGCTCATTAGACTGAGAGACGTAGACCAGGATGTTCATGGCCAAAGTCAAGTAGAACATTAGGCAAGAATAGATCTTTATTAAGTACCTAACTCCACTTTGGGGTCCAAATGATCCACTCTAAAGTCACCATTCTCCTCTTTGCTTAGGATGGCTCAGTCTCCCTCAGTCTCAGCCCCACGGAGGTGGCACTTCTTAGGAGGAGACCCTGTGACTGAGCCCTGCATGACGACATACAATCACTGCTTTCTGTCTTTGAGTGACACTTGGTCTAATTTAGTACTCCAAAAACCTTTAATTAGTTGAGCACAATCCCTGCTCATCAGCCAAGCCACAGGCCCAGCCCAGGGAATGTGGGCTCCCCACTTGAAATGCCAGTAAAGCACAGAGAAGGGTGTAATGCTGGCTTCAAGCCACACTGCTCTACACACACCTCACAGTCACAGTTCTCTGGGAGAGATTTCCTTCCTTGTTTTCATCCCTTTTTACATTGTCCAAACTCTCCTCTAGGCGTCCAGGAGCTAGCCAAAAGCTAGGAGGGTGGGATTAAATAGAGATCCCATATATTGCTTGCGTCAACATAAATGGATCTGGAAAAGCAATAAGCATCACCTTCCTCCGCATTTTTTTCTTTTAATTTTGATATAAATGTAGATTCACATGCAGTTATAAGAATTCACACAGAGAGCTCCTGATTCACATCTTGTATAACCATAGCACAATTTCACAGCCAGGAACAATCCACCAACTGTATTCAGATTTCACCAGTTTTACATGCCCTCGTGTGTGTGTGTGCGTGTGTGTACATGTAATTAGTTCCACATAAACATTGTTATAGCAAGGTACAGAACAGTTCCTCCCTCCCTCCTCCACTCCACCGCTGTCAACCACTAATCTGTCTTCCATCTCTATAGTTTTGTCATTTCAAAAATGTTATGTAAATGGCATCATATAGTATATAATCCTTTGAGACTGGCTTTTGTCTCCCAGCAAAATTTCCTTGCAATCTATCCACACTGTTGGGCATATCAATAGTTCGTTCTTTTTTATTGCTGACTTATATTCCATGATATGGATGAATTAGTTTCTTTATCCCATTCACCCATTGAAGTACATTTGGGTTGTTTCCAATTTTTGACTATTAGAAGTAAAGCTGCTTTGAACAATTTGTATACAGGTTTTTGTAAGAACGTATGTTTTTATTTCTCTGGGATAAATGCCCAAGAGTACAATTGCTGGGTCACATGGTATGCACGTATTTAGTTTTGTAAGAAATTGTCATACTGTTTTCTAGAGTGGCTGTACCATTTTACACTCTCACCAGCAATGTCTGAGTGTTCTAGTCTCCAGTTCCTCACCAGCATTTGGTGTTGTCATATATATATTTTTTTATTTTAACCATGCCAATAGGTGTGATATCTCATTGTGGTTTTAATTTGCATTTCCCTAGTGACTAATGACATTGAATATCTTTTCATGTGCTTATTTGCCATCTGTATATCCTCTTCAGTGAAATGTATAATCATGTCTTATGACCATGTTCTAATTGGGTTGCTTGTTATTTTACTGTTTTGTTTTGAGAGTTCTTTATATATCCCAGATACAAGTCCTTTGTCACATATTTGGTTTGCAAATATTCTCCTCCAGTATGTAGTCTTTTCATCTTCTTCACAGGGTCTTTTGAGGAGTAAACATTTTTAATTTTAACAGGGTCCAGTTCCTCACTGGATCATCTTTTTTTTTTTTTTTGAGACGGATTTGCGCTCTGTCGCCCAGGCTGGAGTGCAGTGGCTTGATCTCGGCTCACTGTAACCTCCACCTCCTGGGTTCAAGCGATTCTCCTGCCTCAGCCTCCCAAGTAGCTGGGACTTCAGGCATGCAAAACCACCGCTGGCTAAGTTTTGTATTTTTAGTAGATATGGGGTTTCACCATGTTGGCCAGGCTAGTCTCGAACTCCTGATCGCAAGTGATCCGCCTGCCTCAGCGTCTCAAAGTGCTGGGATTACAGGCATGAGCCACTGTGCCCGGCCTTCATCATGCTTTTGGTGTCAACTCTAAGATCTCTTTGCCTCGGCCTAGATCCTGAAGACTTTTTCCGGTTTTTTTAAAGATGTTTATAGTTTTATGTCTTACATTTATGTCTGTGATCCATTTTGAGTTAATCTTATCTAAGGTATGAGGTTTAAATCAAGATTCAGTTTTTTTGCATATGGATGTCTAATTGTTCCAGCACCATTTGAACAACCCCCTGTTGAAACGCAATTTGGCAATATTTATCATAATCCATAAGAACGTGCATAGCTTTTTTTCCTGTCACTTCTGGGAATTCATCCTAAAAAATAATGCAGGAACATTAAAAAAAAAAAAAGCAATAAGCTTAGAAAATATTCACTATAACATTTTTTATGAAATTGAAAAATTGGAAGTAATCTAAATACCTAACAATAGGGGACTGGTTAAGTATGGCACACACATGAAATAATATGCAACATTTAAAAATATATTTACTCAATAACTTTCACCCATTCAGCAAATGTTTACTCTGTATCCATATGTGTTGGTGCTGAAGATAACATGGTGAGCAAATTAGACATCATCCCTGCCTTCTCAAAGCTCATAGTCTAGAAGAAAGGATAGAGAAGACAATTCTGGCACTTAGAAAAATAGGTTTGCTAAACTAGGGGAAAAAACAACAAAATTGCATGCACAAGGTTATTGAAACTTTGTTAAAATATATGTGTGTGGGGAAAAAATCATCATTCTTTAGGGTGATTGGATCAAAGACAGGTTTTTTTCACCCTGCCTTCCATACCTTCCATTTTATTTTCTTTTTATGATAATAACAGCAGTAAAGAGCAAAGCTTCAATTGCAAAATAGCTTCTTGCCATGAAAAGGTTAGGAATGTCCATTTGAAGAGGCAGCAGGCTCCCGTACAGCAATCCAAAGGGCATGGAAAAGGCCACAACAGACAGTGAGGTAGCTGGTGCCCAGCTAAGTCATGTTGGATTATTCAGTCCATCAGCAAGTATCCACAGAGCGTCCACAAGGTGACGGGTATCCCATGAGGCACTCAGAATGCGTGTTTAAGAATAGACAGTCCCTGAGCTCTAGGGACACTTATAAGAAATTCTGATCTTCGTCTTCCTCATGCTTGCCTGGTCCTTCACACCTCACAATGTGCTACCAAGTATACGCCCTCATACAACACTCACAACAAACCTGTGAAGTTGTCAGGGAGAATATAATTATCCACATTTGTTAGACACTAAGGCATAGAGAGCTTAATTAACTTGCGCAAGGTCACACAGATAGTAAATGACAGGCCCGGGACTTGGACCTGGCCTTCCATCACTAAGGCCAGTGCTGTTCTCAGAATCCCACAACTGCCTCAAGAAAGCTGTGATAACAGAGGGCTCAGAGCAAAGAAATAGTCAGCAGAGAGCCGTCACTAGAACTGAAGTCATGGGGATGAGAAGGCACTGCCTACCGCTTCTGAACCTTTTGGCCAAGATCAAGTGTAGGAAGCATGAGCTAGGGCAGGGGATGGGCTCCCCTCCCCTGCGGTAGTGGGGGCTGGGGGTCCAGGCAGTGAGGGGAATGGGATGCAAATACCTGGGCTCACCTCTCCTCCCTCTCCACAGATGGTGAAGGCAATCCAGGTCCTGAGAATCCACCTGCTGGAGCTGGAGAAAGTCAATGAACTCTGCAAGGACTTTTGTAACCGTTACATCACCTGCCTCAAAACCAAGATGCACAGCGATAACCTGCTCAGGAATGACCTAGGGGGGCCCTACTCCCCCAACCAGCCCTCCATCAACCTTCACTCACAGGTAACACGCAGAGCTGGGTCCCATCTCTTAAGCCAGGCTCCTAAGCCCAGCTCTGGAGCCAGGCGTGAAGGAAGGTCCCCTGGTGACCTTCATTGGGTTAGACTCACTGGGTTCCTTTGCCATGAGGGCCTCCTCTGGTGCATTCCTCTTCATATCCATCAGGACACCCAATCTCCTTTTTACACACACTCTGCCTTGCCAGGGCATTAGTATTCCCTTGAAAATGACCAGATCGGAGAGGGATCCAAAGTCATTCCTGGCTTCCTGGCCCAAGGTATCCCCCAGAATGAGCACCAGCGCTAAGGAGATGGAAACTGTCCCGGAGGATGAGCTGGGACTGGGCTCAGACATCCCAGCCCCACAAGCTTCTTAAGAGGCTGTGGCTTGCTGAGCCATCTGCATTTCTGGGAACGGGCATTTGGGGAAAGCAGTCATTCCCTGAATCCTGCCCACCTAATGGGTGAAGCCAGCTTCCCATGGGCCTGCTGCTCCCTAATCATTCTCCAGGCATTCACGCTACTCTGGCATCTCTGTCCCCCTAAGGTTCAGGGCCATGGTCAATGTCACCTCAAACCACCCTGTTCCCAGGTTCCCCTGCCCCCTCCTTCCTGAGACCTGGGAAATGCAGAAATGCTGACTACACACTTTGGGCAAGAACGGGCTTTCCCCTCCAGGGCAGGATATTTTCCCCAAACCTACAAACCAAGAAAGCTGCCTGGCAGTACCTTCCCACCCAACTCATGGGCATCTGCGTAAGCCACAGGCTTAAGACTTTGTTTCCCTTCCACTGAGCTCCCGAGTCCTGGAAGACACCTGGAGAGTCCCCAAGGAGTCCTCCGTAGCCTCTTCTCATTAAACAGTCAGGCATAGGGATGCAGGTAAACTTTCTAGAAGTGAGTGCCGAGCGGTGCTGGAAGTAGTCCCAAAGAAAGACTGTGACATTTTTGTCCCTAAACCCCTAAGGAACCACTCATGTACTCTGTCTCCCCAGATTGGTAGAGTCGGGGAGGGGACAGGCTGCTTCTAGAAGGCCAGCCTCACTTTGCACATCTTGAAAACAAGCACAAAAGATACACTCGGTATCACATCCAACCCACCCCAGTGGGCTCTTTGAGACTCGGTAGTGAGTACTGCCCAGGACGTAGGGCAAGAAGTTTACTTCCTCTTCCTCTTGCTTGAAATCACCAAGTCACTTTATTACAGATCTAAAAACACCCGCCCAGGCTTCTGCCTGCTAATATTCTCTTGAAATAGACTCATTCCTTCAGAGTCTTATTGTACTTTCCCTTATGATCAAAATTAGCAAGAAACTTGCATAAAAGAGGACAATAATTGCTCAACGAGCATCTCGTTTGTAATTTATTAGTTTCTATTATTGTGGGTTACCATGGTGACGCTGCGCAGTCCCGGTGATGGGAGAGATGCAAGATAGGAGCTGAGGAGGCTGTGAGGCCTCGCCAAATGGAGATGCACATTTTTATCAGTAATTTTCATGAAAATAATAAGTGAGGAGTTAATGAGATGGAAAGCCATCCTGTGGCTATTGTGAATTTTTTTTAAGTGTTGATCTAATTAGAATGCATCGGTCAGGAAAAGTAATGAGGATTTAGTGCCTCACAGAGATGTGAGGATCATATCAGAAAATTAGCACAAGTCTTTGGAAATAATCAGGTCCTTGGAGAGGCACTGGATTTCCCCTCCTGGGCCCTCCAACTCCACCTCGGGCTCTGGAGCTGGGGGTGCACCAGGGTAGTGGTGGAAGGAAGGAGGGGCAGAGGGCTTAGCAGCCACCTCAACCCCTGCAGGGTTGGAGGTCTGAGACTGACAAGTCAGTCTGCAGAAACAGGGTCACTGGAGAAGTGGGGTTTGCAGAAAAGGATAACGTGGGCTCTGGATGGTGAAGGTCTCAGAGATGCCGTCACCTGCAAAAATCAGTCCCCCTGGGGAATCCCAGCACTCAGTCTTCTGAGCTTTGAGGAAAGGGGAAAGAATTTTGATTCCTATCACTGGACGCATCAGATCTCTGCCTGGAAGTGAAGCTGGCCCCGGGGTAGCCACTGCAGAAGGGCCCTTGATCAGCTGGGAAAGAGGAATCAGACAATTGGGCGGTGGGGGGTGGGGGATGCGAGGCACTGAGAAAGAGAAAAGACGCTTAGTGAGGTATTCCTACTTGGTATTACTCTAACTCTGTCCCTGCATTTTCTGTGACTGCCACCGCCTGCTTTGTTCTGGCTTCAGGGGTAAATACAGTGATTACACATAGGCTATGGCAGGAGCTTCCTAACCTGCTCTCCTGGCCATCCCTCAGCCCACCTGCACACCCACGCATCTCTTAAGCCTCTACTGCTGGATTCGTCTTTCTACCTTTGCTCATGTCATTTGCCTGCTCAGAAACCCTGCTTGCCATGCCCCTGGGGGTGGGAGGGAGGGCCTTCACTTCTGTTCACCTGACATTCAAGGCCCTCCTAGGTCTAGCTTCAGCCTTCCTGGCTGGGCCAGTCTGACTGCTCGAGGTACTGTGACCATCATTCCATGCCTGTCTGTTTGGGTGACACCTCCCCCCCAACCCCATCATCTCCGCACAACCAAACCCAGCTTCTTCCCCATGGGTAGGAACAAGGCTGCTCACCCAGGAGGCCTCCCTGATGCCCCATCCAGAATGGACGCTTCCTGCACTCCACTAATCACGGCAGCTTGCTGAGCCATCAATACGGCAAAAGTCACTGTGACTTTATATTATAGATGCTTGTGTTCATCTCATTTTCCTATCCTAGATAACACTTTTTGAGCAGAGACAGTATTTGACATGTTTGAAATCAACAAATCACCTTATTATAGACCAAAAACAGCCATTCTCAGCCTCTGCCTACTGATAGTCGTCTTGAAATAGACTCATCCCTTCAGAGTCCTAGTGTACTCTCCCTGTGACCCCAGCAGTGGCTACCACAAGGTCTTGTGCAAGATAGATGGCCAGGAAGTATTTACTGAAATAAATAATGAAATGAGAGAGAGAAAGTTGGGGGGCCAGGGGCAAGGGGAAGCCAAAGGAGGAAAGGAGAAATAGGAAGAAAAATAAAGGGAAAGAAAGCCAGATATGCAGGGTCAACATTCAGGAGGGAGGTAGAGACAAGCTGAAGAATTGGAGGAAAAGAGCAACAGTTTGACAGGGAGACACACAAACCCAGGAAAAGGGAGACGAGACTGAGAATGACGGGGCAGAAGGATGGACGGAGAGGGGAACAGCAGCAAGAGTGAGAGCAAGTGGAAGGACAATGGATGTGGCTCAGTATGCAGCCAGGCTACGAGGAGGCGGGAAAGTCAGTAGGATGTGCTATGTGCTGCTCCTATTGTATTACTCAAACTTGGCCCTGCATTTTCTCTGACTGCCACTGCCTGCTTTGCTCAGGCTTTGGGGGTAAATATGGTAATTGCACATAGACTATGGCGGGAGCTTCCTAACCTGCTCTCCTGCCTTCTCTGGCCATCCCTCGGCCCGCCTGCACACTCACACATCTCTTAAGCCTTCCCAGGACAGGCCCCTGTCATTGTTGCACTAAGGTAGGGGCGGGGACTTGCATGGGCTCTCCCAGGAAGGAGAGGCCCAGGGCTGCTAAGAATCAGGGACCAGAGACTTTCAGTATAGGAGGCAGGTCTTGGGTTCAAGACACAGGAGCCTTTATGGGAGAGGAGAGAGAAAAGGAGCGTGTGTGTGTGTGTGTGTGTGTGTGTGTGTGTGTGTGTGCGCGCACACACACGCGGGCACATGCATTCATCATGGTTCACCCTTAATCCCCCTGGCCTGAAATAGCCTCACTGAGCACCAGCCTGGCCTGGGGAGGGGTATCTCCCCTCTGGAACATGATCCTCTGGATCAACATTCCAGCCGCCTGCCAGCTTTGTTGCAAACTGCTGGCTCATGGTTTTCCCTGTGTGCTAATCATCCAGCCTTGTGTTGCAAGGCGGGAGACATTTTTGTTTTCAACTTGGTACCCCCACTCCCAGATGCTATGCTGTGTCCTTCAACTAGATGGATGGGTTGAGTGTTTTCCTGCTTGGCCTTCTATTTCTCTGTGTGAGTCTTCTCTCTGGTCGGAGTGGAGGTGGGAAGTAAGGGAGACTGTCCTACCAAGCAGGAGACTAAAGCAGACTTTCAAAGACCTGGGCCACAGCTAGATTTTCCCCTCCCTAGGAACCCATCCTGTGCTGCAGGCACCCAGTGACACCCAGGCTTCCTACTCCTCAGAGCCCAGGCTTCTTGTCGGGGCAGCATCCTCTGTAAGGAGACTGGTTCTAGACCTGACTCTGGGTTCTCCTGTCCTTCCTAGAGGGCGCAAACAGAACTATTCCACCAGAGAGACCTTAACTCCCGCCTCACCCAAGTATCAGTTTGACCTGAAATTCATCCTTTTTTCTCTGTGGAGATTTAAGCCTCAGCTCGATTCCAGGCAAATTGGATTGAATCATGGTTCTCATTCAATCGCCAAGCATTTGGGGGGTACTCACTGTATGCACTGTGCTAGGTCCTGTAAGAACAGACACAAGCCCTTGTCCAAGAGGAGCTCCCAGTCTCAGGGGGAGACAGCCATGAGTCACAATGAGGATCTAGATAAATCACATCAGCCTTGAAATGCTCAGGGTCAAGAGTATAGAGGAAAGGAGCAGCCGAAGAGATGGGGAGAGGAGCTGCAAGCAGGGATTCTGGATTGGGCGATCCACACGTGTGGCTTGAGGTTGCCCCAGTCTCTACCCAGCACCCTTCATCCTTTCTCAGAGAGGGACCAAGTCCCAGACTCAGCCCTCACACCTTCATGGCCACTTTGTTCCTGCTCCACAATAGGATAAACAAACCTCAGTACAGAGTAGAGAGGCCACCAGGAGGATTTTGCCCATTATTTTTGGAGAAGTTACAGATTCATTGGCCTTGGGAGGGCTTCCTGGGGGAGGTGGCATTTCAGGCTGGCTTGGCGAGAGTTGGTAGCCTATTTGGCAGCCTTTATAAAGGTGAGTGTTTCCAGTGTAGCAAGAAGTCTGGAAGAAGGCGAGAAACAAAGAGAGCCAATCAGAATCCCTAGAGAAGAGATGGGGTGGAGGGGGCTCATTCATTCACGCATCCTGCATCCATTCAGGCACCTCTGGAGCCTGCTGAGTTCTGGGGATATAAAAATGGATGTGACACAGTCCCAGGTCTCCAAGTGTAATGATGGAGTACCTTGAAGTCAAACGTGTGGGAGTTCCGTTCTGGGGCTGATAGCGGTGGCCGACTGCTAAAGACTTCAAAGGTAGTGGAGAATGTAGGCGACAGGGTCAGGGCTGGAGACAAGTCCACTGAGTAGCCACATCTTGTATTGGTCCAAGAAGAGCTGGCAGAAGGAGGGGAGCCAGTGAACATTTATTAAGTTCCCCTCTGTCTCAAACGTGGTGTGTTCTAGGTGCTTTCCACAGATTATCTAATTTACTCTCCATGACAGGCTGCAAGGTACACATGATTTTCTCCATTTTGCATCCAAGGAAAGAGAATCTGAGAGAAGTGAAGAGCCTGGCTCAAAGTCATACCCCTAGCAAGTAGTGGAGTCTGGGATGGGCTACTCCAGAGCCGATGTTCTTGCTACATGGGGATATGTTTTTGTGACACATGGGGAGAAGAATCAGGGGTCCTGGGACCTAGGTGGCGAGGGATGACCCTACCTAGCTATTGGTCAGGGGGTTAGGGACTACAGAGGAAGCAGCCAATTGCTAGGAAGCAAGAATTTGGATTTGCTAGTAGACTGGAAGTAGGAAAATGAGAAGGACAAAGTTGAGGCCATTCTGAGATGCTAGGCCCCGCAGCCGGATGCGACGCTGCAGCTCTGTGCCTCCCCCGCAGAATAGGAAGGGGGCTAATCAATACATCCCTACCTGGGAAGGGTGGCACTTGCCTATTGACCTCTAAGGAATTTTGGATTTTCCAGATTGGCAGGGGGCCGAGGGGATAGGGGGCCATCACCTCAGCCAGGACCCTAGAGGTTCTGCCCAGTGGCTAAGCATCCTGAGGACAGGACCCCGGAGAAGACTGGATGGAGCTGGGGTAGGGGAGTGATCTGCTCTGGACAGATCACTACTTAGATGGACGGGGGCATCTCTAGACTGAAGCGGAATAAAACGAGCCACACTGCCGGTCACAGGCATTAAAGCTGTCTCTTCTGTGGGTTCCTCACCCCCAGCCCTGCAGCCGTGGAGCCCGGAGACCAGAGGGTGGCCCTTGCTGCCAGGCTAGTGAAACTTGAGCACTTCTCCCGCCTGAGAAGGAATGTTCCTTAAGAGCAGCAGCTGCTGCTTGTCCCCACAGGCCAGAACTGCCTTTCCCTTGAGACCAAGGCCCCCAACAGGAGTGGAACAAGAACAGGATTAGGCGGCTTGTTTACATGTGCTCGGCTTTCCCGAGTTTGGGAATCTGGCTTTTCTTGGTCTAAAACAGGGCCCTGGCTCTGCCAGAACGGGGATGCTGCCGGGAAGGGGTGTCTGGGGACAGGGACAACCTCTCCACCCTCCTAAGGCACATTTGCGCAGGCACACACACACACACACATCACACACAAAAACACACCACAGGAATACACCCACAGCCTTAGGCCAAAGTCAGACCACACATGTATCTAGCATCTACCATGCAGTTAATTAACATTGTGCTAAGCAGTTCCGGGGAATTCAGAGAAAGACCCCCCTTTCCATCAAAAAGCCTGCAGCCAAGCTAGGGAAAGACGACGCCTGCGTAACAGAGAACCATTCTGTGGTGTCCAGTATGTAAGGCAGATGGGAGGCTTTGAAGAGTCCAGAGGACGGCTTGTGGCTGTGCCCTGGGGAGGTCAGGACAAGCTTTCTAGCAGAAGGGAGACATTCAGAACCGACCTCCACCCGCCCCCAGCCCCGGCAGGGGAGCCGCCAGCGCGGGCCTTCTGGGAGGCTTTGGTGAGTGTGGTCTGAGCCGGTGGATCAGCGGAGACCCCTAGTGGCCAGGGGGAGGATGGCAGGTGGCTGGGTCTGGCTCCACGGGGCACCCCACTCCCGCCACCGCCTCACCCTTACCCACCCTCCCACACAATCCTTAGGAAATGGCATTGGCTCTTTTACAGTCCTCAGCTGGAAGGATCTTTGCCAGGCCACCCAGTTCATTCCCTTGTTTCACAGGTATCCAAGTAAGATAAAAATTCCATCTATTTCAAAACAGCTTAAACAGAAACTTTTCTGTCATTTATTTCCTTCACTCCTTCAAGTATTTGTCCCATTCTGGTTTCTTCCAGGAATTCCTTCCTTGAGTAGAAATGAAGTCTTCCTTGAGTCTCCCAGGGCAGCTCAAGCCCTTTCCCTATTGACAATGAAGCATAGTGGCCCACAGAAACCGACAGCTCTTCCTGGGCTGACGTCAGACCACTGTCCGTTCACGTGGGCCCCTGCACCCCCCACTTCCAAAAGTCATTCCACAGCCTCTCATCGTTTCTTAGTAAGGCCTTCCTTTGGAACAAGTCATCTTTCTGCTGCTCCAAATGCAATTTGGAGTAAAACTCCCCCGATAACCACTGAGGTCTGTAAAGAATGAGTGGCAGCCGCAGTTCCAGGGTGTTGCAGCTGCCCAGAGGATGGTGCTCAGGAGGCACCAGTTCTCTGCCATTTCAAACTCTGCCATTCCAAACCCAAAGCCCTGCCTTGCTCTGCCCCTCCTGAGAGGCTCTTTGCTTCTGAGTTTCAATCCACAGCGCACAAGGAACAAGAGGAGGGCCGCTTCCGGGGGTGCCCGTGGAGCCCAGCGTGTTGGTTTTCATCTGATTCCCAGGCTTCAGGCAGTTCCCAGAGGCTTGGGGACACCACAGCTGTGTTCCTAGCAGAAAAAAACAAACAGAGTTCTTGGGCTGGATAACCAGCTCTCATCCCCAGGTTCCTGGACAATTCCAGCAGGGATGGGAGGCTCTGGGTGCTGAAAAACGTAACTAGAACTGTACCAAACGCTCCTCTCACCTCCATCTGGGTGCTAAGGAGCCTAGAGGGGAGCAACTCTGTTTGCTTCTAGACACAGTGGCATCTACCTGGGTTTTGAGTCTGATGAACCCCGAGGGGAAGCTGTCAAAAAGCTAACAATACTGTGTACTTAGCCAACATGTGCTCCCTACGGGGTTTCCACTGCTGCTCTGGAAGTTCCTTCCTCAGAAAAGAGAGTCAGAGCCCCTTGTCTCCATTCTATGGTGCTAGAGACTAAGCCTCAACTGGAAATCGCAGCCAAGTGGAGTTGTGGGGCTAGTCAGAGACAACGCTTAGGATCCTGGAACTCGGCCATTGCCCGGGAACATCTCAGACAGGGAAGCATGTAGCAAGGTTTACACAACTCTGCCTGCGTGCGCAACCCCAGCTGAACTCCTTCCATTGCTAAGTAAAGAACTCAAGTGGCTTGAGGGCTTCTAGGACAGGTTTTTAAATCCCAACTGTGCCACTCCCTAGTTGAGTGACCTTAGCCAAGGGAAGTGGGAAATAAATTATTGGATGGCTAAATGTGCCAGGCACTGTGCTTGCATTGGAGCCTGTCTGACCCCGAAGCACATATCCTCTCTGTGTGAGCACTCGTCCTGCACTCAGAGCCAGAGGCCTTAGGCTGGAGGCACAGTTATTTGACTCTGGGAAGTCACTTCCATTCTCTCTGGGCCTCAGTCTCTCTTCAGGCAAATAGGACAGTCTGTCCTGCTGATCCTATGGGGTGATGGTGACATTAAAACGGAATAGCGTGGGGAAAGAATGCTCTCAAATACTCAGTGTGTGTGGTAAGTGGTCGTTTTCAGACCCATCTGATCTTTGGGACCATCACAAGGAGGTTTTTAAAAATATAGATTACTAGATGGGTGAGGGTCTGATCCAGTGGCCCTGAGAATCTGTGTCCAAAAAAAAAAACACGCTCAGGGCTGGTTTGTGGAGCAGCTCATGTTTACAGACGTAAGGGATGAATATCATTTCCCCAGACCTCCGGGACGCCAAAATTTTGCTTCCTCTTCCCTGCCCCACCTAAGACGTTGCCAGTCCTAGCCCTGCCCTTGGACTCTGTCTCTGAAGGTTTTTATATTATTCGTTCACTGATAGACTCTGGCTGCCTCTCAGCACCTACCAGCCAAAGACCCAGAGAAGGGAGAGAAGGGTAGGAAAGAGAAGGCTCTGATCCAATGCGTAAATTGCCTTTAGTTACCCAAACTGGGTAAATTGGCATGGAGGGAATCCAAGCCACAAGGTGGAGAAGCAGCCAGGGTCTGAGTAAGCAGACGAAGCATCCAGGTGGTGGCTCACCCTCTGCCTTTGGCTAGGGAACAATGTGTGTTGGTTGAATCCCAAGGGACACATCTTGTATTTATTTTACTGACTTTGCTTGTATTTTTCTAACCTTGTTGGGTACTTTTTTGGGGTGAAGAAAGTCTGGGATAACTTTTTATGTTTGAAATTCTCAAATATCCCTACCAAAAGAGGCACATGCTAGCATGGATGATTCCAAACAAGGGATTATTGAGAAGTCACTTCCACTGGTTTTAAGGCGAATGGCGTGGAGGTACCCACTCCCCCATTAAATTTACCTTCAAGCCTGGTGTGGTGGCTCATGCCTGTCATCCCAATGACTCAGGAGGCTCAGCTGGGAGGATTACATGACCCCAGAAGTTTGAGACAAGCCTGGGCAACATAGCAAGACTCTCTACCCTGTCTCAAAAAAAATTAAAAAAAGAAAAAGTAAATTTACTTTCCGAGTTTGCGTCAGCTTCAACTATATTATCAGCACTGGTTTACATACCATGAGAATGGTAGGCTGGGATGTTGGAACAAGGAGAACTCAAACTCACAGCAGTCTCATTGCTGAAAACTCAGGCCTTGAGGGTCCAGGTGTCACATGCACTGTATACATAAGGAGATGAGGCCCACGGAAGGGTGGTGACGTGATTGCCTTTCCTCCAGTGCCCACGCTGCTTCTGGACTTCCGGGTTTTCGTTGTTTTTATCTGTTCACCTTGCCTGCAGTGATGATTGGTTGACCTGCAGGATTCAAGGAGCATTTGCAGTCCAGAACCTGTGTAGGGGGCATTTGTGGGTGAAGGAGAGCTGTGTTCTAGTCCTCTGGCTGCTAACCAGCTGTGTGGCCGTGGGAAGTCCCGAGCATCTCTAAACCTTATTTGTACTTCAGGGAGGGGAAATGTGTGGCTTTGAGGGGCTCTTCCAGTTTCTAGGCCTCTGCATGGCAGACTCCATTTTAGACTGCAACTGCAGGAACGGAAGGCCAAGAGCTCTGCTCAAAGTATAAACCTCACGGGCTAGGAGGCTCCCACGGGGCCCCAGGAAGGGGAAGCCAAGGCAAGAGCTGCTCCCTCTGTTCCCCAAGGTCACAGCAGCAGAGGTGAGCTCAGAATAGAAGCAAGGCCTCCATCGCCCCACCCACCCAGAGAAGCCAGACCAGGAGGCCCGTGCGGCAGGTGGGTGGGAGGAGGGCGTGCTTGGCTCCTCTCCTCCTGGCGCTGCTTATTTATAGGCAATACTCCTCCAGCTCTTGGGCCAGAGACAACCCGGGAGAGTAAAAAAGGCAGCTCTGGAGGAGACGCCAAGGGGGATTTAATCAGCTGAATCGAGTGAGAGGTATAAATCAGTGCCGACTTCCACTTCCTGACAGGCTCTGCCAGTTTCTGTGTCGTCAGGGTCTGGGAGGAGATTCGCCATGGCTGTCCCCCAGGGCTGTAACACTTTGCCTTTGTCTCTTGCTACAGGTAGGCAGTCACTGGCTCGAGGTTTCCTCCAAACACAGATTTCTGGGCTCAAAACCCTAGACTTGCTCTGGAGGCTGGAGACCTAAGCTTCTTCAAGTCCTAAAACAAAAACTGGGAAGCTGGGGACCTCCCTTTTTCCCCCATTTTGTCTATTTCCTTGACCATTTACCTGTCTCTAAATCCTTGCAGTTCACGCCTTATGATTCCAGCATTTGAGCATGGGAATGTCACCTAAATGGCCATTGAACCTGTTAACTGGTTCACGCCCGTCTTCAGATGAGGAACCACGGCTAGGAGGAGCTAAGAGACCCAGGCCAGCCTCCTGAGGCTCCCACACTTCACTCGCTGCCTTTTTTGTCTTCTCCAAACCTAGAGCCCCTATCCTCTCCCACATCCTATTCCTTCCTCACAAATTCTCTCCAAGCACCCAGCCTCCCAACGCAGGCTCCCTAGAAGGCAGGGAGGGCTCCACAGCAAGTCCAAGGACTTCTTTACCCAGCTGTTAACTGGGAATGGTGAGGGGAGCAGAGGGCCAGGAAAACATGTCTTAGCTGCCTGGGCTAATGCAAAGAAACGTGGCAAGGGTTCCGTGCTGGTTGGCAGTGTGGGGAGAGGGGAGTCTGTTTCCAGTGGAATCCTGTGGGGATCCTGAGGAAGAGAACAGAATCGATGCCATATGCCATAGGTGGCTGAGGCTCGTATGAGACACCCTTAGGAGACAGCTTATGGGAAGGCTAGGGCAGCTTTCACTTGCTTTCTTAACATGGATTTTAGTCTCCTGAGCTAGGTGCTAAGGATACAAAGGTGAGAACTGGAGGCTGCTCTGTGTGTGCAGCCTAGTGTGATGGGCCTGTGATGGAGGGTGTGTGGAGAGGAGCCGGGGGATGGGAAAGCATCAGGAGACAAGCGTGGCTGAAGGAGGAGCAGGTGCCGACCAGGTGAAGCCAGTTTCTCAGTCCCGGCTGCACAGTGGAATCACCTGGGGAGCTTTTAATAACCCAGAGCCCATTGAATGTGATGGATCTGATCAAGAAAAAAAAATCCAGAGCCTAGGACACACTCCTAACCAATTAAATGAGACTCTGAGATTGGAACCCAAGCATCGTTACTGGAGATTTCGAAGTATAGCCAAGGAGGAGACCATGGGTTATCAGATAATTTGTGCCTCAGGTTTTCAGGGCAATGGAATGGTTAAAAGGGTGACTCTTTTGGGTTTCTTTTTTTTTTTTTAATTGAGCCCTCTTATTCACTCTTTCTAGGAAACCATGAGAATTGCCTTCTGGACCTGGGTCTGGGGAGGAGCTACAAGGAGGGAGGGGGCAGGCAGGAAGGGGAAAGGACAGACGAGGACTCTGGGGCTGTAGGGTCTAAGCTCTCAGTGACATTGTCACAAACCACGCCTCCCTCACTGCCAGGACCTCCTGCAGAATTCCCCCAATTCCATGTCTGGAGTCTCCAATAACCCCCAGGGAATTGTGGTCCCAGCCTCAGCGCTCCAGCAGGGCAACATCGCCATGACAACCGTCAACTCACAAGTCGTGTCAGGTCGGTGCAAAGACCGGGAAGGGGGATTGTGGGAATTCCCCGGGAGGAGAAAGGGTGGTCCCGAGGCAGTTCCAGGGGTGGGGGGGTGGGGGTTGTCCCCCACCGAGGGAGGGGCTCCCAGCTCAGTTTCTTGACTAAAGTTTTCTGTAAGTTTGTAGACAGTTAGCACCAAGACCCAATTGTGATGGTTTAGAACAAATCTGGGTCAAAATCTCATGAGCCCCTGAGAGGACCAAGTAAGGCTGTTGTCCCTTCCCTGAAGCACCTCCCACCAAAGGCTCTGCCCTAGGCTGCAGACACCATCCCCCAGCCACCCATAAAGCAGAAGAGCCATAGCTCACTACCCAAGGGCTCCAAAGTAGAGGGTCTTTACACGTGAGTGCCAAGTGAACTGGGAACCCTGCTTGCCCTTGCTCCTACCCACTCCCATGGCAGGGGACCCCAAAACTGGTTGTCTCCTCAGGTGGAGCCTTATACCAACCGGTTACCATGGTAACCTCCCAGGGTCAGGTGGTCACCCAAGCAATCCCCCAGGGAGCCATCCAGATCCAGAACACACAGGTGAGTGTGTGTAGGTGTGTGCACATGTGCATGGTGTGGGCTAGGGCGCCTGTGATCGCTTCTTATCTGCCAGGCACTTTACACGAGTGACTCATTGAATCCTCATCATCCTCTAAGAGGTATCATTACTCCTACTTTACAGATAAGAAGCTGGGTCTTGGAAAGGTTTTATCAACTCCTGGGATTTTGCTGCCTCCCTCTGGGGGTTACATCAAAGGATCCTGCACTTCCTATTCCTGTCTGCAGACTGAGCCGCTGTGTCCCTCAGTGGTAGAGAGTGCACACACAAAGGAAGAGTAGAAAGATCGGAAGTCAGAGTCTGGGATCTGACATTAACTCTGGGATCTCGGATAAGTCACCTAACCTCTCTGAGCCTCAGACTTCTTATTGATAAAAGGGGGATTAATAGCAACTGCACACAGCCTAGCCAACCTACAGGGCTGCTGTGAGAATGAACCACGGTGATGGATAGGAAAGTGCTTTGCAAACTGTAAAGTACCACAGAAATGCTGATAACTACTTGACGGCTTATGGCAAATTCATATCTTCTACTGTTCTCTCTGCATGGCCCTGTTTCCTCTGTCTTTCTCTCTCTCTCTCTCTCTCACTCTCTCTCTCTCTCCCTCCCTCTCCCCCTGCCCCATCTCTTCCTCCTTGTCCTTCTTCCCTTCTCCCATCACCCGAGCCTCACCTCCACTCTCTGAGGGGCTGGCATGGGGTGAGAGGGAAAGGCGACCTCCCCAGGGCCCTAGGAGTGAGCCGGGAAAGGGGCTGGCAGCCGAGCCTGCCGTCGCTATGGCAACAGGTCCCTAGCCTCACAGGCTGCTGATGCTGATTTTCTCTCCACGTGCCCTGAAGGTTAACCTTGACCTCACCTCCCTCCTGGACAATGAGGATAAGAAGTCCAAGAACAAACGAGGAGTCTTGCCCAAGCATGCCACCAATATAATGCGTTCTTGGCTCTTCCAGCATCTCATGGTGAGTGTGTGTGTCCTGGGGGTGTGGAGTCACGGCATGGGGTATGAATAACCCACCACGTGGGTACCAGACTCTGCTATCGGCTCCAAACCCACAGACAGAGGGCGTGGCCTCGGGGAGCGCTCTCTGATAGGGATGACATCTGGAGGCCAGGCCGAGGGGCTCAGGTGGGACCTAAAGCTGGGAGACTTTCTCTAGTACCTGCTACTGTTGCTGTCTGGAAAAAATGTGGCAACATATGGGGTAATGGGGACAAGCGCATGCCGAAGAGTCAAGTACTGGGCAGATGTGTCACACTGTTTCATGAACAGAGAGAGGGTCGTCGTGGGGAGTGGGTGGTTTCTGGACCAGAGCCCTCCCCCTGCCACAGCCACGCTCACTGTACCCGTCTCCCATGGGAGAACGTGTTGACTCTGCCAGGACTCCTGAGTCCTCCCTGCTGGGTGAGCCAAGCGCTGTGTGGTAGAGATGGGGGCCAAGGCTGGAATCCTGGCTCCTCACGTCACAGCTCAGTTCCAGGACACAGCACTATTTATTTCATAAGCCTCAGCAGCTCCTTTTATAAAATGGCCCACTCCCTTGGGTTACAGTGGAGTGTTGATACAGTGCACACTGTGTGATGGTTGCTGTGTGTCTGTGTGCAGCGTTAGTTGCAAAAGACAAGCCTTTGGTGGAATATCAGGAAAGGCTTCATAATTGCAATCCCCTAACACCACTTCCAAGGGCTGTGGCCGTAAATAAAGGCCAATGACTGTGCCGAGGGTGTATACCCTGGTGTGTGTGTGTTCTGGGGTGGGGAGGTAGGTGCTGTGACCACAGGCTGGCTTCCATTAATCTGTGAGCTCCTGCCCTGGCATGTCAGGACAGACAGACAGACACAGGTACAAGACAAATTCCAAGGGACTGAGGATCCATTGGCTGGAGAACTGTGGGAAAAACCAGGAGGAAGAGGAAATCCTTCTCCAGAGGGGAGAAAAATCAAATGGGCCATGGAAACTAGTGAGTCCGTCAGCAGCCCTTTATCTGAAATGGGAGAGCCTTCAGAAGCCATGGAGACCAGGCCTCAGTGGTTCTCAGACTTTAGTGGCAGCAGAAGACTGACTGGGTCTTGGGGGCTCTGATTTGGAAGTGCTGGACCTTCCTGTGCACCCAGGAGGCTGGAAGGATCACCTCCTAGCAAGCGATGAGAGCCGGAGCTCGGCATCTCCCCAGATGTATCCCCTCGCCGCTGGGGGTGTGGGGCTGCCCCGGTGGTTTGCTGAGTGAGTACATTTTGAAAGCACTCACTAGTTTGAAGACCTACAGTTTCCAGATGAGAAAGCTAATTTGGAGAGGAGGGGCTGGAATGCTGGAGTTAAGGTGAGGAGAGAGCACTGGAGGGACTCCTGTGCCTACGTGATGAGGCCAGAGGCCCCGCAGCAGGTCCAGCCTCAGGTCTCTATGGAGCAGCTCTGAGTCAGTGGCTGGAGTGCACAGGGGGAATGCCCAGGTCTCCTGCCTTTCTGGTTTTCCAAACTGCCCGAGAGCCAGGGGGCTCAGATGGACTCAGTGGCCTGTGGGTCCAGTGTCCATGCCACAGCTCCAAGCCTACCTGTGGGAGGAGGGGCTCCCTAGGGAAGGACGCATCTTCTGTGTGCTGAGCTGGCACAACCGAGATTAAAGCACCATCCTCTCCCGACGGCTAGTGCAGCTGACTCTGGCTCCAGTCATTGTGGTGGGTGACGTACAATGCAGGGTCGCAGGTGTGCTAGAAAGCTCATGGGATTTTGAGGCAGCTGAACCTGGGTTCAAATCTCAGTTACCTTTTACCCTGCAACTTGGCCACACTCGCGTCTTAGGAAGACTGTGATGAAGTAATGAAAGATTGCCAGGACCCTGGCACACGGAGTTGCTTAAAAAATGCTCCCTTTCCTTCCCCACCTCCCACCCCCATGCATTTTTTAAGACTGTTGTGAACATACCTACAACCTCACTTCTGAAGGGGGAAAAAGGCAAGAGGAGAGAGGAAGCTGCAAGGCAGATTCCCCAGCCCAGGAGCCCAGGTGTCCAGGTGTCCAGGTCAGCACCTGCTCAGTGACTCCCACCCTCCATCTGTGGCCTTCCCCTTCACAACCTTCCATTCCCCACTTGCCGCTCACCCCTGGGAGTCATTAGCCTGAGACTGGAGGGTCACCCATCTTTGTCCCTCCTGGCCGTGCCTGGCCTCTCACCTGGGACCTCAGTTCATGCCCCTCCCCCCAACCCGCTTCCTCGTGAGCCTCTGTGCAGAGCTCGGGGTCCTGTCTTTGCACTCCATGGTCACTTCCACCCAGACTTGGGAAGGCAGAGGAAGGGGAGGTGAAGAGAGGTAGTAGCTGAGCACAGAGCAAGGCAGGACCCAGACTGGCTCTACAGAAAGCACCAGGGATAGGGTAGAGGACTTGCCGAAGGGCATGAGGAGGGGCTTTCTGCCCACACTTTGCCACCCACCCCTGTTGCCTTCTCTGGCCTGGCAGTGTGTACAGGTGCAGGTGCCATTCATGACATGCTTAACATTGGCAGAGTCCTCCCCCAGTTCATCACAGTGGCCTCTAGAGAGGCAAGGGGAGTGGCCACTGGGCCTCTAAAGTCAGAGCTCAGAACTTTGGGACTGAGGAGGAGGAAGAGAATGAGAAGTCCAGGCTGCTCTAGGGAAACAAGCAGACCCAGCTGTCCTTGGCTTGGCAGGCCATGCCTGGGCCACACAGCCATGCACATGTGGACACACCCTCACCAAACCCCAGCTGCTTCAGGAAAGAGGCTATACAGGCTCTTCATAACTAGGCACAGTAGAAAGAAGACAGGATTTGAAACCAGACAGATCGAGGTATGAATTGAGGCTCTCCCACCAGCAGTGTGATTACCCTGATTCTATTTCTTGGAAAAAAAGAAGAAGATAATACTTATTTCCCATGGTTGTGAAAATTCAGTGAGAAAACATATATAAAGAGCCAGGCCTAGCATATAGCACTTAAGAAATAAGTTCCCTTTGAATTTTTTAGAACAATGGACCAAGAGCAAGTTTTGGAGGCTGAAGACCCAAAATTTGTGAATATTAATCAGAGGTAGATGGCTAATTTGTTGTTTTCATCTATAACACCTACTGATTTTACTCTCATTGACCCTAAGGGTAACTGACAATCCTGTGACTTACCCGTTCTTTGTGTAGATGTGTGTGCCTCTCTTGTATCTCTGACTCTGTCATAAATTTCTCAAAAATAAGGATCATACATTATATTCCTCTATGAGCCCTACAGCATTGATTCCCAAGGTATGAAGCTTTACAGGATTTATGAGGTCTCACGCCCCAAAAGAGGTTCCATGGTGAAATAACTTTGGGCCAATCTGAGTTATAGAAAGTTTAGACTCTTTTTTTTTTTCATGGTAGGGTACAGAGTCTCACTCTGTTGCCCAGGCTGGAGTGCAATGGCACGATCTCGGCTCACTGCAACCCCCACCTCCCAGGTTCAAGCGATTCTCCTGCCTCAGCTTCCCGGGTAGCTGGGATTATAGGCACCCACCACCATGCTTGGCTAATTTTTATATTTTTAGTAGAAGTGGGGTTTTACCATGTTGGCCAGGCTGGTCTCGAACTCAACCTCAAGGTATCTGCCCACCTTGGCCTCCATAGTGTATTCTGTTTATTCTTACAGGACGAAGGGGCATGGTGAATTTGCAAGAGGGGTAAGGTTCGAAGCGTCTCCCAAACTTACGTGAGCGCTTTACATCCCCTCTTGGTGTTTTCACTGTTGCTCTGAGGAACAACTCTGAGACTGTAATTCTTGAAAAACGCAACTCTAGGGAGACACTGTGTCAGGTCAATAGGAGCTGCTCAGCTTTGGGAAAGAAGAGCAGAAAGGGTAAGAAGTAAGGACAGACCTAAATATGCCATCGATGTTCTCACATCCAGTGCAGTTGGGACAACTAATCTGTGGTTGATTGAAAAACTTAGTTTAAAAAAGAAACAACCATTCAAAAGAGATACTTTAATTGAAAAGATGGACTTACCGTATACATTCATTTGCTAATCTTTTGATACAGGACTAAGGTCTTTTTCTGACTGTGAGTCATCTTCCTTGCATAAACCTCTCCTATAATGTAACATCTATAAATTCCACCTCAATGGAAAGTGGAATTACAACTTTGACATTTGGGAACCAATCTGTCCGCGAGATCTTTCCGTATTTTTATTATGTATTCCAACCCTTTATGTTTGTCTCATCTGATCCTAACTATTCAGCATCTGTAAGCAAATTTGGGCCTCAAGACTTTTGAAAACTTTCTACTTATCAACAGCGACGCTTTTTGCACTCATATTTCTTTGGTTTACGGAAGAGTTTGTTAAATTACAGAAATTTACATACTTTATTAATAATAACATAGAACCAGTCTGGATACGAGCACTGCTGGCTTTCAGATAAGCAGATAGTGTAGCTAACAGACATTCCACAAAACAGCCTTCTCATCTCAAGCATTCAGAGTGCTGCGGAGAACAATTCTAACGATTTACAGAAGAAATGGACATGCCATCAATTAATCCAGAAACTTTGCTAAATAGGGATTGGTTGTGAGAACGTCTGTAGTAAATACTAGTTGTTTCTGTTGTCTTCTTTCCCTGGGGTATAAGTCTGTATTCTTTGGTTCCCTTTGTGCTATGTCTGGGGCTTCTTGTCATTTCTACTGTTCTGCAGCACTGGCAGCCACAAAAAAGTATTCAGATGATAGAAGGCTCCCGAGATGGAGGTGAAATCCCAGAGCCTTTTTGCTGTTAGGCTGCAGTGAGATTGGGATGGTCTCATCCATTAGCTGTTCGCCTCTACGTCCCTGAAGAATCCAGTGACATTTTCTTGCTCTTGCATTTGGCTGAAAGAGGCTACACTCCTGCTGGAAGCAATCATTCCATAGCAGACTCAGGTCGGTTGAGAGCCCATGGCAGACAGTCCTTCTGTTGGAGGGTGGAGCGGTAGGCACTGTTCCTCCTC